ACATATGTGTAAGCGCCAATCTAAAAAAAAAAAAAAATTTTCAAAATTTATACTAACAATCCCTTGAATAGAATTTTGGAAAATGGGCGTGATACCGCCCACATCTAACCATATAAGTTTATCTCATTAAATATAAGTGAACATACTATATAAATTGATAGAAATATGGGTAAAACCACTATTCTTACCATGAAACGGTAGTTCTCAGAAAGGCGAAAAACTATATTTAATACTTGCGCCAGGTATTTAATGTTCGGCACCACCCGAACTTGGACTTTTTACTTGTTTAACATATGTATGTCAACCACTATTTATGTACCAGGGATGGGCGTAATCAGGAAAATGAATAATTGAATAAAAATAAATAAGAATAAGTTTTTATTGATCGCTTCTACAGTTTTGAATGAATTTTTATTCATCATTGAAGTAATTTCAAATAACGAATAAATTTTTATTCTTCATTCAAGTAATTTCGAATGAAGAATAAATTTTCATTCATGATTCAAGTAATACTGAGTAAAATTACTTGAATGAAGAATAAAAATTTATTCGTTATTCTAAATTACTTGAATGATGAATAAAAATTTATTCGTTATTTGAAATTACTTGAATGATGAATAAAAATGTATTCATCATTCGAAAGTGATAGAATGAAGAATAAAAATTAATTCGTCATTGAAAATTAGAAAAATCATGAATAAAATTTTATTTTTTATTTGAATAGTAATTCATTCAAAAACGCCCATCCCTGTTATGTACTAATATCACAGGTGTATGCATATTAAACGAAACCTATGTATACATATATCCCTATGTTGTACGATACGCTGAATGCGAATCAATTGAGGGTCAAGTAGGGACAAATTCATTGAATAAGCATTTCATTAAAAACGTTCTCAAGCTCAATAAAAATTGTTGAATTAAAAATATATACATAAAAAAACAATCGAATACTCTCGAAATACATATGTCGCTGATGTATTGAAATATTCGTTACTTTGTGAAAATTGAGGGGGCCACATCAGGAATTTTTGCTCACCAGCTAAGGTTGTTTCTAATGAAGATTTACCAATTTCACTTCTTTTGTTAAAGTTTCTCCATCTCATAGATTGCGATAATTAGCACGCAGTGGAATTTACTGAGGCTAAGTGAGCTGGAAATTTCCAGCGATGTGGATATTGATATGTTTAGGGAAAAAGTTTATTCTATTAAAAATTGAATTTATGAAAATAGCTTCATGGATCTCGCCAATTTTGTTTTTAGGATAATTTCATTACCCTATAGCTCTGCGGCTGCAGAACGGCAATTTTCAACACTTTCTTTGATAAAAACTAAACTAAGAAATAAACTTAAATTGACAATCTCAATAGCATAATGTTTTTTTTTTTTTTGGGGGGGGGTTTAAGTTACTTCTGAGCTATATGACAGGCAGAAGATTTATTTGGCCAGCTCTCAGGCTACAGCGCCAACTCCAGTTCTGAAATAATTTCGCCGAGTCTTATAAATTTACATTTATATCTTTAAGAAACTGTGTTATTTCATTGAAACCGTGTGCTCCTCGAGTCCTATACAATTCTTCTAGAGATGTGAAATATCTTAAGTTAGTGTAATTGTCTCGAGTGCTGCCATATTTAATGCAATTGAGTATTATATGATTACTGTCTTTAATTGTGTTACAATCATCGCAATTCCGATCTGCTTCTACATTCATCTTATGCAGTGTACTTTTACAGAAAGTGTGGTTTGAAAGAATTCTATTCATTTGTTTTATCTCTGTTACATCCAGATTTGTCGATTTACTATTAAACCATGACGTTTTTGGTACCTCTGAAAACATGTATCCGTATATCTTGCCCTTATTTCTGCTTTTCTCTGTAAACGATTGTTGCCATTCTTCTCTTAGTATGTCTGTTATCGCGTTGATAGCATCTTTCATCGGCCATGGTACGGTAATTCTTTCCCCGCAATGTAGCGCATTTCTTGCTGCCAGATCTGCTTTTTCATTTGGAGCTATTTTGCTATGGGATGGTATATGATGGAGTTCTATTTTTTCTATACCTGACCTGTTGATTGTATAAAAGATTTCAACTGCTATGTAATTATTCTGTTCGCTGTTATTCAATATTAATATGCTACTTAAACTGTCCGTCAAAATCGCTATTTTCTTGTATTGGCTTTGTACCACAAATTCTATCGCTTTATGTATCGCTATTAGCTCTGCCGTCGTTGATGCTGTTTTCTTATTACTGAAATAAGAGTTTATAGTCTGTGACTTATCATGTACGAATGCCGCCATTGTCTTGCCATCCCTGATAGCTCCATCTGTGAATATTATTTCGAAATTTCCCCTAACCAATTTTTCAATTAATTCCTGATACAATTTTTGTATAATTTCCTGACTAGCTATTTTTTTGGTATTGCACACATCTTTGAAAAAATGTGTGTCAATAGTAACTTTGTTTGTGGATATTTGTCTCTCAGGCACTACAGCGATATTGTGAAATATAATTCGGAACTTGTTAAGTACTGTGTAATAGCTAGATCTTTTGTTAAGCTCCTCGGTAAATAAGTATTTCTTTGCTGGTAAGTTATATGCAATTATTTTTGTGATCTCCTTAGCAGTGGCAAGTTCAAATCTTTGTTTGGGTGGCAGCTCGGCTGCCATGTGGTATATCACTTGTTCAGGTGTGGATCGTATCAAACCCAAACATCTTCTTAAATTTGCTTTAGCACAGACAGATAATTTTTGTTTTGGAGATATTAGCAAAAGACGACGCCGCATACTCTAATTTGGACCGTGCATAGGATTTGTATAGTTGTAGGGCCCTTCTTGGATCTACGCCGAATTTACAGCCACTCAGGATTCTAAGGAATTTACAAGTTGTGTTTACTTTTTCGACGGCTTGGTTGATATGATTGGTACAAGAATTGTTTATGCTTACGATGCGACCGAGATATTTGATATTCCTAACTTGTTCCAGCTGTGTATTGTTAATTTGAATGTTAATTTGCTCGTTTCTATTGTTAAAATATATGATTTTTGTTTTGTGTGGATTCAATTTCAAGTTAAGTTTGTTGCATTCGAGTTGAAAGTGTTCAATTTTTTGCTTTAAAATTTGTTTGGCCCGTTCTTTATTTCTATGTGTGCATACAAGAAAGAAATCATCGGCATATTGGAATAGTTCAAAATTTTCACTTGCTACAGCATGTAATGGTGCTGTGTAGATATTGAACAATGTTGGACTTAGCCCGCTTCCTTGCGCCAAACCGTTGTTAGTTATTGCCTTTTGTTGTCCAAGTACAACCAATCTGCGGCTAAGAAATGATATTATCCAATCTCTTACTTTGTCATTAAACTCAGTTTCTTCCATAATGTTGTTAAGTATATTTATATCCACCGAATCGTATGCTTTTTCGACGTCTATGCATGCCGCCATAACATGCATCTTCTTTTCTTTCTTAATATACACCAAGTTAATTAAATCATTGATGCACAACGTCGTCGATCTGTTTTTTCTGAATCCGTAGGATCTCTCGGGGACTAATGCCTTATCATTGATATGCTTGTCAACATATACTTTAATGATACCTTCCACCGTTTTCGCTAGGACCGACATTAAGCATATCGGTCTATAATTGTATATGTCCATTTTATCCTTTTCTTTTTTCAAAATAGGTATTATCTTAATTTCGCGCCATTTCTCCGGTATTATTCCTGTAATCCATATATCTTCCAGTATTTTAAATAAGTTTCTTTTTTCTTCCTCTCTCAATTGCGTTAGCATTTTATACGAAATTAGATCGGTCCCTTTTGCTGATTTAAGATTTCTCGTTTGTTTGAATCATATCGTGATTATTACTATTGCACGCTACTGTGTTTGGGTTTTGGTTGGTTGTAATGTTAGTAGGTGTACGAGTGATGAACGCTAGATATTTGTTCTGATCTTGACTGCTCCAAGAATTGTTAATTTTTTTTTTCACATTGATACTTTTTTAAATTGTTTATTTTACACCACATTTCTTTGACATTGCTTGGATTCGATATTTCTTTTGTAAGGGCTTCAAAACTTTTCTTTTTTTGTTCTTTTACGTGTTCAGCTAAATTGATTTCCGCTATTTTTACCAGTTCTGCGTTTTGAAGTGTGGGGAATTGATAGTACTTTTTCCTTGCTGCATTTCTTAGTCTAAAGAGCTTTTGAGACAAATCCGACCACCAGCTTTTGGGTACATATTTGGTTTTTTGCACTTGGATTGTATTATTTGTTATCACTTTATTATAGTTGTTGGTAAATTCTTGTAGAGAATTTCCCACTTTGAACGAACTTATTTCTGATAAGATTTTGTTATGTAGTATTTTTAAGCTTGGTTTTGTCCGGTAAGACTGGTCTAGTGTAATTATAATTGGGGTATGGTTACTATTGGTTAGTTTTGTCATTGTTTTCCATGAGATATTACTATTATCATTTGTAAAAGTCACATCTACTGCTGATTTATTTGTAGGGTTGATATAAAATGTTGGCGATCCGTCGTTCAGACATCTAAAACCATTGTCTGCTGCTATGTTTTCCAATATCGATCCTTTTCGGTTGGTAATGCCTTGATACCATGCTGAGTTTTTCGCATTAGCGTCTCCACCGATTATTGTTGTATCTCTTAGTGTTCTTGTATATGTAAAAATTTTGTCCATTCCAGTTCGGAAATCATGGTTGTTGATGCTGGGTGGTGCATATATACTGATGATATTTATATTTTTCTTAAGGTTTAAAGTTTTAATTCCAATATTTTCTATTTCAGAGCGTATATTAAATATCGCGAATTTTATGTATTTTTTAATGTAGATTCCCACTCCTCCATATCCGTCACTCCTGTTCTGGTATGCAAAATTATATTCAGCTAAGCTTGTGTCGTAATTATTCTTTAACCATGTCTCTGAGAGCATAGCGATGTCGATACTATTGTTGTGTAAAAATAACTCTAACAATTCCTTGTTTCCTAGTTTCTTCAAGCTCTGAACATTCAGTTGTAGTATTTTCATAATTGTTGTTTATGTTAAGTTGTTGTTGTGTCCCAATCTTCTAGTATTTGTACTATTTGTTATTAAAGTGCTATCAAATATGTTATTAATTTTGTTGATTGTTGTGCGGATGTTGTTAAATAATTCAATTGTGCTGTGGTTTAATCTTTCGTTTACATTTGATGTCAAATGTTTAGTTATAGCTAAATTGAGTTCATTAAAACTGTCCTGTGTGTCTTTGATTTTTTGTGTTTCAATTCTTATTTCATTTAAGTTGATAGGTTGTATGGCGTCTCTCCATTCCTGCATTGTATTAGATGCATTCATTTCTTCCCTTATTCTGTTTTGGTTATATTTTACAACTTTATTGTACGGTAGAATTTCATGTATATATGCTGTTGTGTCTTTTCTTGTTTCCATTTGAAAGTCTCTGGTTCTCTTCTGTATAGGCGGGAATTGCTCATTGTAACCATCCAATATTTCAAACCTGTTCCCCAATATGCTTGTCAATTTTTTTTGTGCTTCTTTATATGTTGCGTTTTCCAAGGTCATTGTCCTTTTTATAATAAAAGCTTTTACACGAGCCGGACAATCTTTAGATGTTGGCGCGTGCTCGTGCTTGCAGTTAACGCACACTACCTTCTTACATTGCTCCTCTTCCGAGTGTACTTGGAAACATTTCTTGCATTTCTCCTGTTGTTCCTTACAATTCTGCGCGAAGTGATTAAACCGAAAGCATCTGTAACATTGTGTCAGCGGTATAAAGGGTTTTACGTCTATTTTCGTATAAGCATAGTAAATGTGACTCGGCAGCTTCTGGCCCTTGAAAAAAATTTTAATTCTCCTGGTTGGTATCTTCTTTTCCTTATCTTCTCTATCCCTCCTTTCTACTCTAATAATTTTCATAATAGGTATCGGAGACTTTAAGTCTTGTAGGAGTTCTTCGTCTGGAATGTCTGTGGGGATATCAAAGATCAATCCCGTCTTCGACAAACAATGTTGTAAGATTTTTGGTTCATAACCCTTGTCCTTAAGTCGCCTATCGTAGCAAACACTGTTTGCTACCTCTGCATTCCTATATCCGACCTTCACTCTACCGTATCCCACCTTTACTACTTCGTCAATTCCATCTAGGTTGAATTTCTTGAGTACATTCGATATGGTTATGGCATTGATTGGTTTTCTTTCTTGGTCCTTGCATCTGTTGTCAATATACACCACGAAAGGTCCTCCATGTTCTGTGTCATATTTAAGTTGCTCGTCATCTTTTCCTTCATTTTGCTTCATTAGCGGCATTATTATAATATTAGAGTCAAGTTTGACTTTTTTTTTTGCATTAGAAATAGATTCACTTGCCCAGGAGCCATCGGGCTCCTTAGGTATCCCGGTCATCTGGGGTCGTTTCCCTATATCTTTCGGATTTTTTGTTTTATAAGGACTGAAAACAGAAAATATTAGTCTATATCAAGTTTATATAAGGAATTTTAGGTTTTTTAGATGTTTTTCTAGAAATTTCTTTCAGATAAATTTTCCGTTTGAAAAATGCGCGTCAGTTCGGTGTCAGTGTTGCCAGACGAATGCAGCAACGATATATTCCTGATAGATATCTAGGGACACGAATTTCGATACGATACGATACCATATCGATACTTTTGGCATTCGATACCGATATTTTTTACTCGATAGTTTTAAAACGATATTTTTTGGAATCGAGTACCAGAATCCTAGTATCGTATCGAATGTCATAAACTCAAATTAGTCAGCTTTCAGACACGTCAAGTCTTGCTTTCAAGTCTGCTCGTTCCAAGGCGAAGGAGGTGAGAAGAAAGGGGAATAGTGCAGATACCTCCCAAAACACAGAAGGGAATGCGAAAAAATTTCTTTCAAGACTTATCTGATTATCAACTCTTCCAGACATTTTTTACTATCGTTAGGATTGCATGTGGCGGGATTTGAACACGCGGTCTCGGTGTTTTAAGTCAACACCTCAATCTCTACGTGTAAAAATAATAGGTTGACGATTACAAAATATGTTAGCGTTTAGCCAAGCTTCTCCTCCGATTTGTTGCGTGCGCCTTGATGTTGTGCCACAAAGGGCGTTTTTATGAGCAGCTGCTTTTTATGGCAGAAATACGCTCGGAGGTTTCTAATCAATTTTTAAGATATTTCTTTTTTTGGATTTTGGTATCGATATTTGCGATATTGAGTCTTTTTATTCCGATATTAATGGGTACTCGATATTTTTCCAGCGATACTTTAAATGAGTACCATATCGTTAATTTCGGTTCGATATCGTGTCCCTATAGAAATCTGGTTCAGTTTATGATCCGCTCTGTTTGTTTTGTTTCACTGATAATTTATCTGCACAGTTTGGTAGCACTGGCAAATGAATGCACATATACACAAACAGTTCTGCATTCTTTCTTTTAAGTTCTTTCAATAACTGCGCGGAAATCTGTGATTTCGACCTCGAAATCTTAAAAACCTGTTTAACTACTATGCCTAAACAAAATTGCCAGCATTTTCTGGCTGTCATGTCCATACAATTTGTATGAAGCATACCGAAAC